TTTTTTTGCGGTACGCGGGCCTCTCACTGCCGCGGCCTCTCCCGTCGCGGAGCACAGGCTCCGGGTGCGCAGGCCCAGCGGCCACGGCTCACGGGCCCAGCCGCTCCGCGGCACGTGGGATCTTCCCGGACCGGGGCACGAACCCGTGTCCCCTGCATCGGCAGGCGGACTCTCAACCACTGCGCCACCAGGGAAGCCCTTCCGTTATGTTCTTAAGAGTGGTCTTTTATTTTCAGTTGTGTTAAAATACACATAACATTTACCATCTTAACCATTTTTAAGTGTGAAGTTCAGTGGTATTAAGTACATGCACGCTGTTGCAGCCATCACCAGAACTCTTTTCGTCTTGCGAACCTGGAACGTTGCCCCCATTAAAACAACACCTCCCTGTTCTCCCCTCTCCCAGATCCTGGTGCCCACCATCCTACTTTCTGTCTTTGTGGATTTGACTACTCATAAAAGTGCAGTCTTACAGTATTTTGTGACTGGCTTATTGCACTCGCTGGACGTTACAGTATTTTGTGACTGGCTTATTGCACTTGCTGTAACGTCCTCAGGGTTCATCCATGTCATAGCAGGTGTCAGAATCTCCTTCCTTTTTAAGGCTGAATCGTATTCCACTGTGTGGATTCCACCTTTTGCCTGTTGTGAACATGCTGCTGTGAACATTGGGTACAGATACCTCTGTGAGTCCCTGCTTTCAGTTCTTTGGGGTGTGTATCCAGAATGGAACTGCTGGATCCTTTTGATTCTTTGGGGAACCCCCCCGCCGCTATTTTCCAGCAGCCACACCATTTTACATTCCCACCCACGTGCACGAAGTTTCCAATTTCTCCACATCCTCGCCAACCCGTTTTCTGTTTGTTTTTTTTTTTTGTGGTACGCGGGCCTCTCACCGCTGTGGCCTCTCCCGTGCGGAGCACAGGCTCCGGACGCGCAGGCTCAGCGGCCATGGCTCATGGGCCCAGCCGCTCCGCGGCATGTGGGATCTTCCCAGACCGGGGCACGGACCCGTGTCCCCTGCATCGGCAGGCGGACCCTCAGCCACTGCGCCACCAGGGAAGCCCTGTTTTCTGTTTTTTGTAGTAGATAGTCATCCTCAGGGGTGTGTGTGAGGTGGCATTTCGTTGTGGTTTTGATACTTTTTTTTTTTTTTGAAGAACTCACCCCTTTGTTTTTTTCTGAGAGTTTTATAGTTTTGCTCTAACATTTTGGTTTTGATTCTTTTTTTTTTTTTTGGCCTTGCTGTGGGGCTTGCGGGATCTTAGTTTCCGGGCCAGGGGTTGAACCCAGGCCCGGCAGTGAGAGCGCGGAGTCCTAGCCGCTGGCCAGCCCTGGAAGTCCACTTCTCATCCTCAGAGTGGTGCTGCTGTTTGTTTCTGTCTTGTTTCAGCTGTCTTGTAAGCTGGGCTGCGTGGACCCCAGGGTTTGGTGGGGAGTCTGTGGTGCGCGGGGGCCCCCCTTGAAGGCTCTCCTTTCCCTGTTCACCCAGTGCCGGGCCTGCTGGGTGCGTTCCCGAGCCGCCCCCACGCCCCCTGCTCTGGGCTCTCTCCAGTGCCTTTAGGTCATTGCCTTCTCTTTTTGTCCCGTTGGTCTGATGCAAGTGGGACTGGGAACCCACTCGGATTTACCTGAAAAAAACACCGCGTGGGGCACACCGAATGCTCTGGTGTGTGCCCGGTGCTCCAGGTGTCCGGGGCCAACCCTCCACCACTGCCTGGCTCCCGCCCCGGCCTGGCGCCCTCGGAGACTAGGCCCTTTCCACCGAGGCTCTCTTGGGAGGGTTGTCCCGGGCTGCATCCTTGGCCCCTCCTCAGGGGGTGTAGCCAGCGGCCCCCAGGCAGTGACAGTGGCTGAGCACCTACGTCCTTGGGCTCCCGGTCCAGGCGCCCCACTTCTCCCTGCTTTCTCACCGTTGGCCCCCTTGGGGCCGTGGTGCACTCTTGGGACGTCTTCCCAGCGGAGTGGGCGCCTGCCAGTACCCTATTCCGAGCCGCCTTCATGGGGCGTCCCCAGCGAGGGACTGTGGCTGTGTGGGGAGGAGACCCCTCTGCATGCGGACCTCGGGCGGCCGTCCCGTGGAGGGCGCTGTGGGTGGTGCGCTATGGCCTGGCCCTGCTGCCCGACTAGCGCGGTCCCGGAGAGCTGACTCCACTTGATGATGCTGCCCTGCTGCTTGTCACCGGCAGTTAACTTGGGCCTGGGTGGGGAGGGGCGGTGGGGGGCGGTAGAGGTCCAGCTCTCACCTTCCCCGGCTGTCTGGGCTGAAGCTTTGCCTGCCGGTAATCGCGGGTATGTCCCGAGCCCCTGCCCGGAATCCTCTTCAGCTGTGTCTCAGGTGCTTCCCTTTTGTCCTTTGCCCGGGCCTGGCTTTGTGCTGGCCACCTCGGGCGCTGCCCTCGCGACAGGGGGCAGGGGGCGACCTCCGCTTCCGAGGGCTGAGGTCAAGGGGGGCACGGCCACACAGCTCATTAGTGGCGGTCCCTGCTTGACTCTCGTGTTCTCTCGTTAGAAACTAGTCCTGTTCCTTTCACTTTATCACTTTGTGATCCCTGTCATTTTTGTGATGTTAGAACTGTCTCCTGTGACCTAAGTCATTATAGGAAACATCATAAATTGCCTCAACCCCCCAAACTCTACAGACTGACAGAGAGCTTCACTGGCGTACTCATCTTAGGTTTGGAATGTAATAGCTTTCTTTTCTTTCTCTTTTTCTAATGCTGCAGTGTTCTAAGAACGGAGGCATCTAGGCTGAATGGAATTCAGCATCAAAAAAAGTCCTCTTTCTGTTCCGAAGGTTGTAAAGTGCGTGAAGATGAAGCAGGCACCGGAGATCCTTGGCAACACGAACGGAAAGACTCCGAGCTGTGAAGTGAGTCGTGAGTGCTCCGTGTTTCTGAGCAAAGCCCAGCTCTCCGCCGGTCTGCAGGAGGGAGTTGTGCAGAAGTTCAATGGCCATGACGCTTTTCCTTTTCCCCCAGCCGAGAGGCTGAAAGACCTCACCTCCCGCGTCTTTAATGGAGACCCCGGTGCTCATGATGCCAAATTGCGTTTGGAGTCCCAGGAAATGAAGGGACTTGGGACACCCCCTGACACTACCCCTGTCAAAAATGGCTCTCCAGAGATCAAGCTGAAAATCACCAAAACATACATGAACGGGAAACCTCTCTTTGAGTCCTCCATATGTGGCGATGGTGCTGCCACCGTGTCCCAGTCGGAAGACGATGGACAGAGACCAGCGAGCAAAGCGCGGCGGACCAGGAAGAGGAGCGCGAAGCTGCTGCTGGGGCGGGGCCTCGCGGAGGCGGCCCTGGCGTCCCGGGCCTCGAGCCCCTCGGCCGAAAAGGTATCTGCGAGTGAGGAGTTCTGGCTGGCCGGGGTAGAGGGCGGCCCCGGCTCCCGGCACAGGGGGCCCCAAAGGACGCACGGTGTGCGGGGGGCGGGAGGAGGTGGGCTCAGCCCCCCGAGGCCTGCTCTGCAGCTCGGGCCCCTGGCTGTGGCAACGGCACACACTCACAGCAGCCTGCCGAGCAGTGCTGAGGCCTAGAGATTAAGCATAAAGATTAAACAAGGGGACTTCCCTGGTGGTCCAGTGGTCAAGACTTTGCCTTCCAATACCGGGGGTTCGGGGTCGATCCCTGGTTGGGGAGCTAAGATCCCACATGCCTCAGGGCCGAAAAACCAAACCACAAAAAAAAGTCAGAAGCAATAGTGTGACAAATTCAATAAAGACTTCAGAAAATGGTCCACATCCAAAAACAAAAACTTTAATTAAAAAAAAAAAAAAAAGATGGAATGAGTGTCTGACCCCAGGCCTGGCCCGTTCCCGAGCCCTTGACCTTCAGGCTGTCCTGTCTTCATGGATCTCCTCTCCAGAGATGCCCTTAGCCTGAACCTGGTTGGTGCAGGAGCGTGGGACCGAGTGGGGGTTCCTTAGTCTGTGCTGCCCGAGGAGGGGAGCGGGCCGCGCTGTGAGGTGCGCTCCTACCTCCCCGCCCCGCGGCCCGCCGCCACTCCCAGGCCTCCTCCCCCGGTGGCCCTGCAGATGGGCCGCTGCCTCGAGGCTTGGGGCTGCGCCTCGGGCCGTTACGTTCTTGGTTCCAGGACAGGGCGCATCACCTGAGTGCATGGGAATGAGTGTTCACTCACCGAAGGCCGGGGTGGAGACCCGCTAACGTAGGACGGCAGACGTGGTGGTTTATGCCACCAAGTCTTAAATGACACTGGGGAACCTTGACCTTGGCAGAAGGAACTGGGGAGGGCTCTGTAGCTGCCCTTGTTCCCCGAGGGACTAATGGTCTAGGTTAACAGGGTCTGGAGCACGTCCTGTGCTCACTGGTCAGCCAGAGCTCCTGGCCCACTTGCAGGGGCGGGGAGCGGGGACACGAGACCAGTTTGGGTTGTATCATCACTAAAGTGGGAATAATAGTGTAACATTATAGTTGAGGAATCTTGGTTACAATCCCACAGGTGGGAAGGGAAAGGACCAAAATTTCCCTGAAATAGTTAAAATAACGAAGAACTTTGAGGGTTTAAAAAAATGTCTTTTGACTGCTCGAGGGCTCTGATGTAAGCATAATGGTGAATTATTTAAAAGCCTAGTTGAGTGACCTGGGCTGATACAATGGTTTTTCTGAAGCACCCACGGTGTGGGGAACCTCACTCTTTTATGGGGGAAGAGGCCGGTGTAAGTTATCCCTAGCTCTCTGCCCCTTGGTTTTGGTAAAACCTGGGTAAATCACCTGATTTTGACTCTCAGAGTCTCATTTGACTCTTCAGGGTGGGGACAATAATATTATACTTGTCCTGATAGGGTTGTCACGTGGCTTTGATGACACCGTCAGTGTAAAACTGGGATGTTGTGGAATAATGTGAGAGCCAGCATTTTTTCAAAAGCATGTAAGGAGTGCTCGCTTTGGCAGCACATATACAAAAGCGTGTAATGTGACAGCTCTGTGTCAGCCCTCATCACCTGAGGTGTGTAACAGCCGGGGTTCTCCTCGGTTTACAGATGTGGAAACTGAGGCCCAAAGAAGTTCAGCGATTTGCTCAAGTAGGTGGCGGTCTTAGGGGGAGGCCTGGGGCCGTGCTGACTGGGCTCGTGCTCCTGGAGAGGAGGTTGTTCTTGCCAGCCTTCAGCCTCCTAAGTGGCCTGGGCTCTAAGATGGAGAGACCGAGACTCCAAGAGCCCCAGGCCTTGGATGGTGGGTGGTGGGGCTGAGACTTGCTGCCGGGCCCCCGTGTCCTCGCCACCCCGGGTCCTCTCTCCAGCAGGTTAACTGTCAGACGAGGGCTCAGAAGGGGCAGGAGGGTCAGGGTATGAATTCCATGGCAGTTCTTCTCGGACCTGAGAATAAGCTCCATTAAAGGTCACGCACCAGGCCAAGGAGACGGATTTATGTGGGGATCTTTGTAATGTTGTGCACCTACAGTATGCAAGGTACTTGCTGACCTTTAGCTGAGGGCAAGAGACGAACGATTTTGATGAAGTGATATCAGGGCTGTTACCTGAAAAACAGTGAGGGAAAGCATGCTTCTTTTTAGGGGTGTGTGTGTGCGTGTGCGTGTGCGTGTGCGTATGTGTGTGTATGTTGAGTCTCTTGTCTGACTAATCCTTGGTCTTCTATGGATAGGAGGCTGGATTTAGGGGTAGGTACTAGGTGTATCTTTTGTTGTTACTCATTTTCAGATTCCAGCTAAGAAAGAATCCTGTCCACATAGCAGCAGAGACAAAGACCAGCCATTGAAGTACAAAGTCGGGGACCTGGTGTGGTCCAAGGTGTCCGGCTACCCCTGGTGGCCATGCATGGTCTCCGATGATCCGCTCCTGCACAGCTACACCAAACTGAAAGGTATTGCGTTTTGGGGGCTGCTTTTCCATCTTTATCTTCTGCACTTAATTGTTTTCATCTCCAAACTTCTTTATTACTTTTCCTTAAACGGCCCTACTGTGGTTCTTTTTTTCTCTTTTTTATTGTGTTAAAATACACAAACATAAAACGTACCATCTTAACCATTTTTAAGTGCACAGTTGAGTGGGATGAAATACATTCACATTGTTGTGCAGCCGTCACCACCATACATCCCCAGAGTTCTTTTCATCCTGTAAATCCGAAACTCTGTCCCTGTTAAGTAGCAGGTCCTCAGTGCCCCCTCCCCAGCCCCTGGCAGCCACCGCTCTACTTTCTATCCGCTGCTGCCTGTGGTTTGGACTTGTATTTCCCTAGTGATCAGTGATGTTGAGCATCTTTTCATGTGCTTAGTGGCCATTCATACAACAAGGTTTGAATCAGCTTGGAGGTGGGGGCGGGGTGGGTGGTTGTTAAGTTTTTTGTGGTTCATTTTGCAACTTTGCCTAAAGTTAATGATTCACACGTGACACATTGCCTTTTCTTTTTATATCCAAATTAGATACGTACTGTATCTGATTGAGTTAGTATTAAAAGAGAAAGCAGTCTTTGCCTTGTATCGCTTTTCAGGTTTTATGATAAATAATTTATTATTACTTAGATACACAGTGACTGCTTCAGCATGATTTTCAGAATTAGTATTTTATACTTTTAGTTTAAAAAAAAGTCCCAGTTTATTTTATTAGGTCTGTGGGAAGAAGGAAAAAAACTAGAAATGATCATCTTTTTGGTGTCATGAAACTTGGGAACATAAATCAGTACACAGAACAGTTAAGAACATATTAAGAATGTAGTATGCTGTTGATTCGAGCAGATGCTAATTTAAATAATAATCGGACAGTTCATGAAACACATAAAAACTCATGTGTTTTTGGAGGGAAAAAACCCCCCAAATCAGGTGGTTTTGAGATTCTCCTGAAGAGTTGCTCTAAAGTTTGAATTTGGTCTGAGGGAGGTGAGAGGTGGTGACACAGAGCTGGAGGTGACCAAGTTGGTGTCCAAGTGACCTGTGCCCCCCAGAAGCGCGGGTGGCTGGAGCTGTGGGCTGGCCCTGCATGGCCTCAGCGTGAGTGCGTGGCCTCTCTTGGCCTCTGGATGGAGGCCTGAGCTCTTGCCGGGGCAGCGCTGCGGGGAGTGGGGTACATTGGTGGCTCCCTGGCAAACAGACTTGAGGGGGTGCAGATTCGGGATGAAGACGACCTCTCCTCAGCCCCAGGCGCCAGGCCTCCCGCCCCCTGGGTGGTTGGACCCTGCCCCGAGGCCCAGGCGTGCACATGCACTCTTCAGGAAGGCGGTGGCTGGAGAGGAGCCTGTGGGCTGGCTTTGGCTCTGACTCGGTGGAGGGCATTTAGCATCCTCAGCTTGCCAGCATCAGGGAGTCCCTCCCACAGGGCTTCAGGGGTCCCAGGGTGCACCCCTGCTCTTGTGTTCACCGTGAGGCTGAATCAGGGTGCCCTTCCCAGCCTCTGCGGTCTCGAGCAGCCCCACTCTCTCAGGCTGCCCTGGCCTCGTGATCAGACTCAGGGCGCATGGCCAGGCAGGAGTTGTTGTGGGAAGGGGCCCAAACTTGGAAGGAGGGGTGCAGCCCAACAGTGTGCTTCTCTAGGAATGGTTTTGGGTTGCCGGGAGGCACAGCCTCCGTAATCACAGATCAACTTCTGAAGACTGATGATGTGCATTTGCAAAGCAGCTCAGTAGGAAGAGAGCCAGGATGCAGGCCTTGCAGCTGGAAGGGGATTCATATGACCTTTGAAAAGCAAAGGGTCAGAGGAACCCGTGAGAACCTGGGGGTGGTGGAAGGACACATGCAGCCGGCGCCTGCCCAGGAGGTGGTGGCCAAGAGCTCTCCAGTGGGAAGGCACGGCCCCGCTTGTCATTGGTGAATCATCCGTGGCCGTGCTTGGGACCGGGCTCCCTGACAGCCTTGCTTGCTCTGTGGTTTTAATCCTCCCTGAGGATCCATCGGCTTATCGAATGCTAGCTCTTCATTTTTACCATGCGTTTCATGGTTAAGGGGCTGGCGTTTTTCTGTGAAGGTGAGCTCCCTCCTAAAAAATTACTTATGTATTACAGTCTTCACTCTTTTTAATGCGCAAATCGTCCCAGATTTGGCCGGTGGGAGCCCATGAAGTCCCTTTCAGCCGTGTCCTTCTGACACGCCTCCATCCGTCTTGGAGCACTTCCTTATGTGTCACCCAACTAAATACACTCCGGGCTCCTTTTGAACTTTCTTTGCCCCAGTCCTGGAACCAGCTGTTTCTGAGAAGAAACCTGGGTCCTTTTTTTTTTTTTGCGGTACGCGGGCCTCTCACTGTTGTGGCCTCTGCCGTTGTGGAGCACAGGCTCCGGATGCGCAGGCTCAGCGGCCATGGCTCACGGGCCCAGCCGCTCCACGGCATGTGGGATCTTCCTGGACTGGGGCACGAACCCGTGTCCCCTGCATCGGCAGGCGGACTCAACCACTGCGCCACCAGGGAAGCCCCCTGGGTCCTTTTAGTAGAGTGGTATATGGAAGCTCGGGTCTGGGCTCTGGTTGTGTCCAAGGCCATGGGAGACAGAGGGGCACTGGGGTGTGAGGCAGGTCTCCTGGCAGTGCTGAGCCCAGCTCCCTGTGCAGCACCCCGTGCTGGGCATGCCTGAGGGGCTAGGCGTCCTTGCAGGGGAAGGGCGGGGCTATGGCGGAGAGTCGGCTTTTGGCATGGGGCTGGCTGAGCAGGGGGTCTTGGGAAGCAGGAACTTTTTTTTCCCTGTAAGATGGAACTCCCTCACCCTACCCCTGATTCCCACTCCCGATTTTCTTTTTTTTCTTTTTGCGTATGTGTACTTGTTTTATTTATCACACTTGGGATTACTTGAATCTGGATCAGTAGTAACGCACTTAAGCTTTAAAAATTGAAGCATAATCTACATGCAGAAGAGAGCACAGCTCTTTGGAGCGCTCAGGTTTCCTTTGAAAATCTAATAGCATTTTCGTGGTTTGTAGCAGCAGAACTTGTCTTGGTGCCCGTCTCCCAGGGCATCTAGATGGATTAACCAGCAGCTTTGAGGCCTAACCCCTTAAGCTGGAAACAAGATAAATGTGTGTTTTGGGTACTATACTGTGAAGAAGACTGGATTCTTTTGCAGCTGGGGATGCCACCATCTCCCTGGTGCACCTGGGTCCTACTAGTCTTCTCTTCAGGTACCAGGGTATCGAGTCAAATTATCTTCTGTTGTGGAGATTTTTGTTTTTACCTTTTCTGTGTTATGGAAAGGAACCCTCATTGCTATTTTTCTAAATCCCAGCATTTTCTAAAAATATTGTAGGTACCCTCACTTTCTCATGTTCTGGGTTATTAGACACTGTAATAGGACTTTTTCCTCTTTGCTTGTTCTGTCGGCTAGGAAGAGAGGTGTGTTAAGATCTCCCACTGTGATAACGGATGTGCCTTTTTCTACTTGAAATGTTGTCAGTTTCTGCTTTACCTATTTTGGGGGCTCTGGACCCCCAGGGACTGAACCAGGAAACTCAGGGATCCTTGTTCTTTGTTTCCTGTGGAATTCTGTGGCCTTTTGTCCTTGTGATTTTGTCCCTTGCTTCTGTAGACACCTGGCCTCGTCTGCATTGTTGTGGCTTCTCTTCCTCTCTGTATCTGCAGCGCTGAGGCAGCCTTATCTCTTTGTGGGGTCCATTCTGCATGCATGAATGGCTGTTGTCAACTCAAAGACCCCACAGAATCTGGACAGAGACTCTGGCTCAGTCTAGCCCAGGGGGTCAGGGGCCACCTTGCATCTAATGTGCCGTGATGGGGAGGAAACGAACATAGTACAAAATTAGGTTCCTGGGCTATTGGTGGAGGCCACGTTCTCTTAGAAGGGAGTGTGGGTGGGGCATCAGTGATAAATGTTTTCATACCGACAGTGATGGATGAACATCGGAAGTCACAGGAAGGAAGGGTTACTAACAAAATGGTGCTGGGACAGTTGGTTAATTACGGTGGTAAAAACGAGTGATTCACCTGTCAATTTTGGACCAAAAGAAAATTCACATGGATTAGAAAAAAACCCTTAAAAATACAAGAAAGTTGGGTTACATTTGTTACCAAATTTCCAGGCAGGAAAGAACTTCAGAAACGTTTAATTAATTTTATAAACTTAGGATCAGCCTATCCTGTTCTCCTCTGCTTTTTATTCCAGCTGACATGTAAGGAGCATTTTTTCTGTGTCATTAACTACTTATTTTAAAAAATGATGTGCGTTCATATTATTTCATCATATATGTACTGTAATCGATTTTTCTTCATTATGCAAATGCTGTGACATATATTTATATTCATTTTTATGACCAAGGGAAGTTCTTTCAAAGTATTAAAATAATTGAAGCAGACACAAATCTCTTGACATATTTTTGAATCTTAGCTGTTTTAAAATCCAATAATTATACACACTTATAAACAAGTCAAATTGTACTGAGAGGTTAATAGTGAAAAATAGTCCCCTTCCCTCCCCAGAAGTAATTATTTTTAACTGTAAACAATTTTCTTCCAGTTTGAACTATTTTTTGATTTATCATTTAGGTGTTTTCTTTTGACTTTCTGTTATGGAAGATGAAGATTGATCTCTTCAATCCTTTCCTGTTTCTTTCCCTTTCATCCTCCCCATATAATTAACTCACTGTTTTTATTACATCAAACTTAGTTGTTCACATAATTTTGACTATGTAAGTATCATTCAGTGAAAAACTGAGCTGTGTTCTTTAATTGCATTTTCTTTCTTGTACAACCTTTTGTTTTTCCTGGAGTTAATTATTGCCTTTCTTTTGAAATTGTATACTTTGCTGTCCATACAGCTTTAATTTTTTTCAAGTATTTATTTCTCTGTCCTTAAAACTCATCCTATTATGTAGTTAGTTTTTCCGATTGGGGAAAAAAATGAAAACCTATGTTTGATTCCCATTTTGCTTTTCTGCTTCTTGGATCTCTCTCTCTCTCTTTTTTTTTTTTTTTTTGCGGTACACGGGCCTCTCACTGCTGTGGCCTCTCCCGTTGCGGAGCACAGGCTCCGGACGCGCAGGCTCAGCGGCCATGGCTCACGGGCCCAGCCGCTCCGCAGCATGTGGGATTCCCGGACCGGGGCACGAACCCATGTCCCCTGCGTCGGCAGGCGGACTCTCGACCACTGCGCCACCAGGGAAGCCCAGATCTCATTTTTTAGCCTTTTTCCTTGCTGCCAAGATTTTCTTTCAGTGTGGAAGAATTCTTTCCTCTCATCTTTTCTTCCCTTGGAGCTCTCTCCTAGAATCTCCCTTTCTCCTACCTAACTCTCTATTACTGGCACCCTGTCTTTTGCATAGTAGTCATCTTAGACTTTCTTTAAGATGCTTTACTGAGTTACATGCACTGTTTTCCATGGTGCCACGTTGTGCTCTTCCTTGGTCAGTTTTCCTTTTTCGTTGGAGTACATTTTTGGCTTCCTAAGAAAGCGTAAATGGCGGGTATTGATAAATTTGAGTTCCTGTGGCTCGGAGGATGCCGCTTCGCTATGCTCACACTCGATTAACGATTTGGCTATAGGTGTAGAATTTTATGTTGGAAATAATTCTTCTCGGAATTTTGAAGGTATTTTACTCCATTTCCTTCTGGCATCCAGGGTTGCTCTTGAAGCACCTTGCCGTTCTATTTCTCATTTCATGAACGTGGAAGCTGTTCTCTTCCCCTCCCCCAATAGCTTGACTGTCACAAGGATGTGCCCGGATGTGGCTCACCCATTGGATGAGGCACTTAGGGGGGGTTTTAGTTCTGAGACGTACTCTTGTGTTGTTAATTCTCTGATGAGTTTCTCTGTTTCTCTCTCTAGAAGGCCAGTTATTTGGGTGTCATACCTCCTGGATTGATCCTGTGGGTTTCTTATGAGAGTAGATGTTTTCATTTTAATCTTTTTCTTCTTTCTGGGAGATGTCTTAACTTTTTAATTTTTTTTGGATTTTATTCTTAACTTTCCATCCAAGCTTTCTTCTTTTTTCCAATTAATTAATTAATTAATTTCTGGCTGTGTTGGGTCTTGGTTGCTGTGCGTGGGCTTTCTCTAGTTGGGGCAAGCGGGGGCTACTCTTCGTTGCTGTGCACGGGCTCTAGGCACGCGGGCTTCAGTAGTTGTGGCACACGGGCTCTAGAGCGCAGGCTCAGTAGTTGTGGCGCACGGCCTCAGTAGTTGTGGCTTGTGGGCTCTAGAGTGCAGGCTCAGTAGCTGTGGCACATGGGCTTAGTTGCTCCGCGGCATGTGGGATCTTCCCGGACCAGGGCTTGAACCTGTGTCCCCTGCATTGGCAGGTGGATTCTTAACCACTTTGCCACCGGGGAAGCCCCAAGCTTTCTCCTTGAGTTTTATTTTCATGACTGTATTTTAAAATTTCTCATAGCGCTTTCTTTTTCTTTGTTCTCTTCTCATAGCAAACTAGAGTTTTTCTTTGTCAGGTGTCATCTCTTCCTGGCATAGTGTCTGTGGTCCTGCAGAGACTGTTTATTTCTATGTATTTTGGAATCATTCATGTTAGAGGATTCTCTGGGTCCTGCGGGGGCAGACCTTGGTGCTGCGCTTGTGTCTGAGAGGGCTGCATTCAGCTGCCTGCAGCCCGTGTGTAGGGAGACGGTCAGCTTATCTTACAGGGTCTGGCTGGCTGGTGGTCGCTTAGTTGGGGGAATCTCCGACTTTTGGAGAAAAGGCACAGTGGAGAGGTTTTTCCTCTGGTGTGCTGGTTCTCTAGGGAGTGTCCTGTGATTTTTGTGGCCAGTGCCCTGTGTGAGGGAAGAGGGCATTTCCCCAGTGGACCTGCCTTTCTTCCCCACCTTGGCACAGAGATCTGACCTTTGAACCAGCTGTTTTCAACCTCACTGCACCGCAGCCGAATCTGGCACTCCTCCTTTTGGGTTTGGGGACCAGGTAGACACTTTCCTCACTCAGGTCCCTTCTGTCTGCACTGGGGATGTGGCTGCTTCTTCCTGCTAAGAGTGACAGCGGTGCATGTGTGAGGGGTTACTCTGTGGCCTCGTGGCTGCCCTGGGAGTCATCGATGCCCTTATTCCCCCTCTGAGCG